GAGGTGGGAGTAGGAAGAGAAGAAGGATGAAGAGGAGGACGGAGAATGAGATGAGGAGTATGCATTTAAAAATTTTATTTTAAAACTAATTTTTTGAACATGATATCGATTTTCGAATGAATCTAAAAACAATCTAAAGACAATCTAAACAAAATTTCAATACGTTATTGTGCTTTTAGTAAAATAATTAATTTTTGAAATTAGTTTTCAGAGTTATGATATTTCAAAATTATAAACGTGAAGATAGTTAATTGTAAAATATAATTGTATTAAAATAATGTTTTGAAAATTATTAAAACATGTATTTTATACAATGCCATGGTGTTGATTGATTGAATAAGACACACAGCAACTGTGTGCATGCCTAAGATTAATCCAAAATGATATCACAGTTTCTTAACCGCTCATTCAATTTGTGTCATGTTAAAACAGCAACATATACTGTCCTGTTAATATTCTATTAATATTTTTCTGTTTTTATTCGGAAGACTTACAGACATATCCTGGCAATGTATCGGAAATTGATTAAACAAAAACAAGTTGAATATTCTCTGATCTTTCATAAATATGATGCCACACTTGTGACTATCGAAACTTATTAAAATTATTATTCATTACATCCTTAGACATTTGTCAATATTGGCAAGTTCCCCAAAAATAAAAGTTTTATAAACATATATACGGAATTGCTTTGTAAATTATTAATTGCACTTTACATATATACATCGTTTAAATCTTGTTCGTCTCTTGTTCTGCTTGTTGATGAAAAATAACAGAATACTTTGCATATTATCTGAGTACAAGATCATTTCTATAGACTTAGGTTGTTATAACATACTGCTATATATGTGTTTAGAATTCTGTTCCAGTATTAAGTGAAATATACTGAAAAGAGAGTAACTGTAAAATAAAATCTGAAATACATTTGCAAGAAGAGTTTCAAAATCAGAATTTTGATAATAAATACTCTTTTCACCAATATGTGCAATATATGCAAATTCAGTGATTTTGTTTATTTTTATTGACGATATGTGTAAAACATTTTTTTTAAACAATTGCTGGGCATTTCAGAAAATGTGAAGACAAGAAAGAGAAATAATTCTCAAAACAGTGTCAATACGAGCCTTTTTAGAGAGGTGGAATCATGTGCAAGGAAGAATTGTTTCCCTTGCCTGAAGTGAGAATTATTAGCTGTTTCCAAATCGATCTTAACAAAATTAAGTTTAAAAGTCATGGCCTGAAAATTGACATTAAAACAAATATTCGACGGTAGTAAAAACTGCAAGGTCACTCTAAATCTTTATATAAGATAAAAACTGTCGTGTCATAGAATATATAACGTGTTGTTTCGTATAAAATACATTTTTTTCTTTCACATAACAATACTAGTATTCCAAAGAGCTCTGAAAATATTTACACCCACAACTTACCTTTTTTAATTAGCACATAATATTTGGATCTCAGACGCTTTCTTTAAATAGTTCCTTTTAAAAGAAATAACGTCAAACTACTGGTACATGTATTGCTTATCTAATTTTCGTTTCATAACTTAAGCATAGTACATGTTAGGAGATTCTCTTTTCAAAAGAATGACTTTTGTTAGTTGAAACAGCAGGAGTACATCTGAGAAGAAATCATAAAAATACACATATTCTGATACAGATGGTGCATTAGTTTCTCAGATATATTTTTGCTTTAGGCTTTGTTAAAAATGTTTTTTTTTATTTGTTGTAAATCTTTAATTGAAATTTATTTGTTTGATTTCATCTTTAGAAGGAGCATTGTTCCACGTGTTTGTAAATTCTCAGTACATTATGGAAAACTGAAAAATCATTTTGTGTGTATTAAAAAACGTTTTTGATTGGCGATATTTACGTTTTAACACTATATCAGTTGGAGATTATAAATTTAAACAAAATTTAAAAAGTCATATACTTGAAATGATTTCGTCTCTGAGATCGGTCAAGATATGAAATATAAATATTTTAAACGGTGAAGCGAAATGTTGAGATATATTAAATCGCTCAGCTATTTAGTCAGTCTACAAACTTGTTTTCGATGCCGATGGAACTTGCGGTGCTACCCTACGCTTCACGGTCATTGAGAATGGAAGTGAAATACAGTTATTTAAAACCTGAATTTGTTCCTATAAGACATCAATTCATTTAAAAGCATGTTTTCTTGCACAACACCAACGTGTTAATTATAAAAGATACAGATAAATCAAAAATAATAATACAGGTTTTAAACCGCAAATCTGATTCAAGCCTTTTATTTTGCAATTGTCATTTTTTTAATGAAATTTATTTACAGTTTTTTTGATAAGAAGATGGTAGAATTTTGTGTTTCTTACATATAATGTATAATATAGTATTACTCATCAAATATTATAGTTTGAATAAAATGTCTATTGTAGTATTTGTATAATTTGCCTAAAAATTGTCATTTTCCTATATTTAAAAAACATTGGTTCCCCCAAATGCATGTACACTGAAGTTAATGTAAGTTGTATAACAAACTTATTAGTCGGCCCCCTTAAGCCTTTTATTTTGCAATTGTCATTTTTTTTAATGCAACGAATTGAATCTACGTACGAGGGGTGATGAAAAAGTTCGCGAACTATCTTTATATTTTCAAAACCACGATTCAGATCAGAATGTAAGTTGACACATCTATAGTCATGCACATGTTCTATAAATAGCATATGGAAAGTAATGATTTTCTCCATCATTGTGACGTCACAATGTGAAAATGATGTCAACACATAGGTTACTCTTGGCGAAAAATTGTTGTCTCAGTCTTACTCGAGCAACAATCGGCTGTAAAGTTTAATGTATAACTTGGAAATTCCTTTGAAGTATCTTATAATAACTTGTACAAGGTTTGTGAAGACAATAGACTTTCAATCCAGACATTCAATCATAAATTGGATTGTTTTTTTGTGGAGGAAGGGAGGGAGATGATTAAAAATGACGTTTGTTTTTGTACCCCAAGCTAGGGAAGTGATGTGTCCTTTGGCAATTTGTTATGAAAGATCGCAAAGTTACAGCTAGAAAAATGGTTGAATATCTTAACGATATTGTTATTATTCATTCCCTAAAATATCTTTTTATTTTGACTTTTAACATATTATATATGATAAAAGAAGGTCCCTACAGCTATATTCATATTTGATAAACAACGTTCCTAATACAGAGATCTGGGGTTGTGATGGCCACAATGTTCTTTCTGGGAACCATCCTATCTCCGAGATTTGGTCATTTCTGGCAATTGGACCGTTCTTGTTGTTTTAATAAAAATCAACTTGCATGGTAAGAAATATAAGACTCAGAAAAATATTTTAGAGTCCATGAACAAAATGCTTCAGGGCATGTCACGTGAACATTATATCATTTGTAGACTATAAGTTTAAATAGAATTTCAAAAAAGATATATTGTCATAAAGTTAAAATGATTTTGCCTCTGAAATCGATAAGGATTTGAATTTAAATATATTAAACAGTGAAGCGAAATGTTGGCATATACTGTACACCAACTTTTATTCGCAACGACTTTTTTACGCGGTTTACCGGGCATAAACTAGTTCACAACGATAAATTTTCAAGATCAAGCCTTTTTTAATCTGTTGTTGATAAAACAGAGACTTTAAGGACCGGTTCGCGGCGAGAAATATTCCCGATGACGAGACTCCCACGAACCTCGCAAAAATTTCTCGCACGCGAATAAAAGTTGTTTTACAGTATTAAACCGCTCAGATGTTTAGGCAAGTGTTAAAAATTGCTATCGATGACGATAGAACTTTCGGCGCCTGAATTTGTTCCTATAAATAGGACTGGCAGTTATGTTATATACATCAATTCATTTTAAAGCACATTTTATTGCACAACACCAACCTGTTAATTGATTATAAAAGACAGTTAAATTAAAACTAATAATACTGGTTTTAAACCGCAAAATTTGACTTCTAAAGCCTTTTATTCAGCAATTGATATATTTATTTTCTAATGAAATTTCTTTTCAGTTATTGATCGAAAACTAACGTTTAAAAATTAAGTTGTGGGAAGACTTCGGTAAACAAAGGTTAACAAACTTACATATCCTGTAAATGTAATTGAAATCTAATTAAAAGCAACAAACTGAATAATTATTCCCTAGTCTTCTAAACCAAACTTTGACAACAATAGAGAGGTTGAGATGTTCAACTTGTAAGCGTACGTGTACTTGCGCATATACTTTGACGTACACGTACATGTTTTTGTAGAGCATTGAATTGAATTAGTGATAATTTTTAATCTTACGGCGAAAAAGGGTAATGATTTTCATCAATTCAGTAAAGATTACAAATTGCCATGAATAGGAAAAAACTACGACCCATTCAAAAAATAGTTAGCAACCCATGCCATTATGCACATGTTATAAGAGTAAACCGCAATCATAATGATATAAAATAATTGCCTTAACCAGGTTCGATAATGCTAATTAAACTATATTCAATTAAGACCCAATGCTTAAATTCCAGACCGAAAACATTTAGTGAGGAACTTTATTTTGTGGCGGAAGGTTTTTCAGAAGAGAATAATCAACTTTTCCTCCTTGAAGTATTCAGCATTGTTATGTTTGGATTCTTATTCTTACATGCTGGCTGCACACAGAGTAATTTTGTGCAGTGAGATGTTCTATGCTGGTCCTAGATTATAAATCAAATTAACTGTCGTGAATTCCACTATTATATTTGGCAAAAATATCAAATATATAATGAAAGTACTTGAAAAAAAAATGTAAGCTTAAAATTAGCACTATTTTTGTGATATCTAAAAAATTAAAATCACAGACTCACATTTTTTACTTCATTTTCTGAATATATAAGACCATTTTAACCACTCTGCTTAAATTTAGAAAAGTGTCATTTCAGTAATAATTTTACTGCTGTAAAATCTTTAACACCAGAAAAATAACGTTATTTGAATGCAGAAATTTCAATTAATTGACGATGCGAAGTAAGAAACTTTTTTCATAGGACTGTGTTTGATCCAATAATTCATTTGGATAAAAATATTAAAGGAAAAACCTTTCAAAATTGAATTAGGCGTTTGACTTAAATACAGCAAAAAAGGTCATATTAATTGCTCCGTAGTGCAAGTTTTGTTTGTATGTTGATAACGTCCCTCTCGAAATGTTTCACTCATATGGTGACGGCACCACTTGCCGATGGAGAGCTGGAAATTTTGTCCTATGATTGACACTCTGGGCCATTGATCAGTAAGGGATGTTTTCCGTGACAGCATCTACTTCGAAACGGGACCTCGATTTATATAGTCTCATCCGAAGGACCGGTCTCCACGTCCCATAGTGGAATTCGAACCTGTGACGTAAGGATTAACTACTTATTTCGCAACTCTAGAGCAGACGCTCTAACCACTGTGTCACGCGGGCGAAAGCCACAAAATGTTGAAGAATGGTGTAGATTATGAAATGACATCAAATGACAAAATGAAATGTACAGTTATAAATTAGAATCAATAAGAACCACTCAAAAAGAGGTGGGATCAGTTGAAATCGAATAGATGGTCCTCGAGTCGACGAATGCACTTCTACTGTGTACTCAGTATCAGAAAAAATGAAAATATTCCGTATACTTTTTTTAAACAAATTTCAGATTTAATTTCACATTTATGGATCTTTTTCAATATTTATCACCATAAAATCATGTTTTACACGAGCTCTGCATAACATGACTGGTATGGTGGGCACTACTTACTATAATGTTAAGTTTTTGAAAACTGGAACATACTATTGGTTCGTTTCTTCTTAACACCCTGTTCTCTTCGATCTCTTGTCGTTAATTTGCCGTTAAGAAATTTAATCACAAAGACGGGGTTCTAATAGTTACAATAAATCAAGAGTACCTTCTGTTTGAATTCCAGTTTCAATTACCTCTGAACGATATTTCATTTCAGTCAGCCCAAACGTGAAAATGCTTTTGACAATACGTGGCTTACCATTATTTTCTGGAAGAGACAACTTATATCCTTTCAAAAGCTTACAGTTTTCATCGACAACAACTGGGTTTTCCTTGTCCGTGTAGTAGACTCTTTCCGCTACTGACATTTGTGTCGTTGTAATAGGTTCTGAAGTTCGAATTATCTCAACCCCAGTAGTAGAAACTTTTGTTCCCTTGGCAATCAAAATGCTAAAGGATCGTTTGCATCTAAACTCACCATTTTCATCTTTATATTTTCTAGTATTAGGATGAATTCCTTCTTTAAAAATTGAATCAGATGCGACGCCATATGTGTATTTCATTATTCGTGCCGTTATCGACAACGGTCTGTGTCCATATAAGACGGCCCCCTTTAGAACTGCAAGCCCACATTCATTTGGAATGACAAAAGTTTTATCGACAATTGCTTTTTTAATCTCTTCCTGTAGAAGCCTTGATTCGCTGAAACCTCCAACAAGCAGAATGCTCTTCACCTCTTCATGTTCTTTAAGCAAATTTTGAATATGGCTGACAATTCCACCAACTGGCGTGCAAAACAGACTCTTTATTGCAGAGGGTGCAAATTTAATTTTATCACCATCTATGGAAATGAAATCTTTCATCCCAATTTCGGCAATGTTTTTCTTAAACTTTTTAGGTTTAGATTTAAATCTTTTAGATAAAGTTGTAGCTAACTTCACATTGAAACTCTCCATGTATTCTTCACAAACCAACCGTTTTTTTGTTTCAAAGTTTCTTGCTATAGCTAAGTATTCCTCCATGTCATTTGCTTTCAGTTTCTGCATGGTCTTATATCCAAAGATTTTACTATAAAGTTTCAGGTACTCTTCATCCACGATTGTTCCGGCGTAAGGCCCACCAGTTGCCATATGAATCTCTGTCAAGGTACCATCTTCATTTACCTCATGCACACTGAAATCTGCTGTACCACCTTAAGCGAGAAAATGCAAAGAAAATAAAATTAATTCAGACTGAAATGTGCCAAATAACACTGAAGCAGGTGGGTTAGTGAGTAATGCATTAAAAAAATCTGTTTTGTTCACATTTATTTATTTTTATTTCAATTTTTGTGTTATGCTGGACATATTACATTTTTTAAATTGTATATTTAGAAATGAAGTTATTTTAAACGCATATTTTCTTGTTGCTGTTTTGTATCTAAAATAACAATTTTCAAGTTATAGTAAATATGTATAACATTATATTGCAGTTTGTAAACAAACACTGTCTCAAGGCAGACAGTAGATGAGAGGAGGGAAAACAAAAGCAATTGGTACAGGATTGAAATAAAATATTACAATACAGATGACGTTATTCATAACTTTAATTACTGTTGAGATATTTTTATAAATGTTAATGTGTAACAAATACAGTTCACGTTTAGCACTTATATTTCTTCTTCAACTTGTACGTTTGATAGAAATTATAGATATGTACTAACACTTTTTTCCACAAGAAAGTATATTTTGCTATAAAAAGAAGTCTTCATTTTGTTTTTACAATTTTTAATTCAGGAATAGTTTAAAAGGAATTAGTATTTCTTTAATTAGGAGTAAGAGCTGTATAATTGTAAATTGTAATTATAAGGATCGTGAATAAAAAAAAACCATTTAGCTAGGGTGCTTACTCCTGATAGGCACTTATAGCCTTATAGCCCAGGGATCATGAAACATCGTAGGCTTAAGTCAAAATCTTCATACTGTACTTAAAATTTATAGAAGGCAAATAGATCAAAACTGTAATGTGTTTCAACATTGATCCATAAACATGTTGTTATTTGCATATTTTTAGATCAAATCAATAAAAATTAAACATTTTACAGGCGATTGAAAATTTGACTTAAGTCTAAGTCTTTTTCATGACCCCAGGGCCTGATTCCACCTCTGGACTTTCAAGGAGTACATTTTCCTGCCCTCGTTGCATATTTGTTTTGTTTATCAATTTTTTCTTAGATCAATTTAATTGTTTGTTATCTTCTCCTTTTGCATTTATTTAAGCCAACACTAACTGATTTGTATGTACACCAGCCTGTAAAGATATGACAATTTTCTGAAGATGATTACAAATATCCTCTACCTCCTTCCGAGAAAAAATTATAATTGTAAATTGTAATTATAAGTCATTCCTTATAATTTAATTTTAAAATAATTATTCAACTGGGGATGTAAAATTGTGTTGTTTTTATGAGTTCAAATTTACCGCGCAATAAAACAACCGTAGTAACTTAAAATTTATGGGAAGGCAGGGGAGGTAAAACTGATACATAGATCTAGCAGCCATGATGCTTGTTTACATGATTTTTAAGATCAAGTAACTGTTTGAAATTAAAACATTCATTAAATCTGGAATTTTCCATGAATCTCAAGGACTGGAAATGAGGGGATTGATGGATACAGATGATTATGCTGGTTGTCAAGGGGGTGTGTCCCCATACCAAACCAGATTATACAAAATGTAATGCGTTCCTTTTTGGAAATCAACCAATGAGAGGCAAGAATACAAGCAAAATTAAATTATTCATATTAAAAACATTAAGGGAATGATTTCATTATAAAAGTAATCAATGTATCAAGCATTTAATCAATGTATAAAAAGCTGTGGATGGCATAAAGTGTATAAATTATGATTTTATTTTTAAAAAGTTATTCCAACGTGTCGTGGAAAAACTCTTAACATATACAAAAGGTTTTATATGAGAAAAATGTCCCATTGTATTTAGAAAAAGGACCTGGCATTTGCCCAAACTTTAATGTTATTTAATATCCAGAGCGATTCAATCTTAAAACACCTCCAATATAAAATGCATATTCAATAAATGAATACATTCTTTGCTTTTCGAAATAAATAAAAAAAAATACTTTTAATCACATTCGCTTCATTTAAAATTTGGTGTATGAATTGATAGATATATATTTCTGCGCTTTTTTTTTTTTAAATCCATTAATTTTTAAAATACCCGGTAATACGCTACCCTTAAAAGAATCTTTTAAAATGTCTAATTTCTGATTTCTTTTAGAAAATGTTCAGAATCATAAAGTTTGTCTTTTCGTCTTTAATTTAGAATTTTTAGCAATTTTTAAAGGCTTAATAGAAAAATATTTGAAGAGAAAACTATATGTAGCTAACAATTATTACCTCAAATACATCTTTTCGAACATAAATTATGCAAAGAATTCAGAAAGCCATATTATGAAAAATCTTACAATCAAGGTTCAAAGATAACAACTCTATAATTTATTTGTTCAAAAATATCATTTTTTCCATTAAGGATTATTCACAATAAATATTTGTGTAAAAGAAATTTATTTTTTATGATTTGGGACAATTTAGATTTAAATTCAACAACACTTTAATTTTATTGTTTAAAGATATCATTTTCAACATAAGGAATTTTCACAATGAATATTTGTGTTATAGAAATACATGCATGGTACTTTTAGAAGATTTTGAGAAAAATTGTGAGATTTTTTATATGAATTTTTTACTGATTAAAACCTGAACAGCCGCTGTCCTCATAAACTGCTTCGCGGATTCTGTCCAAATGGCGGGAACTGTAAGTACGAATAATATCTGACTTGTTTCCACTGTGTGCCCTCTGTCTTCAAGGGTTTGAAACAAATGATCCTTCAAGTACTTTATGGAGGAAGAGAAAACCAATATAGCCGGAAGACCTTTTCCAGTGACGTCATTGATTTCCGTGTCGTGTGTCATATCCTAAAACGTCATAACATGATTATTTTTACTTTATTCGTTTCAGTGTGAAATGGGAAATTTAGGTTAGTTTTATGTATTGAAAGTTTGTCCAGCTAATCATGAATTAAATAAAAAGAGCTCTAATTAATGAATTTTTCTGATTTTATTTTTTTTTATAATACATTCTATCAACAATCATTCTAAAGTATAGGAAATAAAAGGAAAAACATATTAAAGCATTATTTCTTTTTCAATACATACCTTCCAATGAAGATCCATTTTAAATCTCATAAAGAAGTAATAGTCTAAGTGTTTTCCTTCCGAGGCTAAATGCACATACTTGTTTTCTGCAGCATAACCAAACGAGTTAAACGATTGATCCGGATTCAAGAGAAGACAAGTGGGGGTCTTCAGTGATGATAAATTCCCTTGCCCCGCATACCATGTTTGAGGACAGAAAAATGTCAGCGGATCATCATGGAAGGAATATGCATATCCACTGTAAGTCGTTCCAAAATCTATTGCCGCCACTAATCGAAATTCGAAAATTTCCTCATAAACACTCTCGGTATTTGTACTATTGGACATTTTATTTTAAATGTAAATGCTTGCTTTTTCTGTATCCTTTCAACCCTGAAAAGTCTCTGTTTTTAGTCACAACTAAATAGATCTTACTTCCTGGTACATATGTACTCTGCATACCTGTCAGATATTTCTTACGTACAAAATGGGGTGTTTTACGGTGTAAAGCTTTTATTTCAAGGTTAAATTTTGTTGTTAAACTCTTTTATTCAACACAGTCACTTAGTCAAAGGTTATATGCATTACAAAGGCAAAATCGTTTGAAGCATCGATATTCATACTATATATTTATCATTTGTTGAAATAACTCATGCTCTTTGTAAAAATACAAACCATGCCAAATAAAAGTTGCCTTTTTATCACTGATTGTAATCTATACGTCTTTATACTTGGCCATTAAGTAAGCATATTTTGGATTTAAAAACGTGAGAAGAAAATGAAGTTGAATGAAAACAATAGAAACTGCAATGTAAAATCACTGATGGGGGAAAGGTTCAAATAAATGAAATATGAGATGTATGACGAACATCAAAATAGACAGTAATTGTTCCTTCGACTTACGCTTGGCACTTTGAAGTGAATGTTGCGGGTTTTTTAAATGGAATCTTAAAAAACCGTGTCACGACATGCAAACCCTTACTGCTCAATGGCCCTGATTGTTCAGTAAAAGTCTAAATTTGAAGCTGACGTGACCAGTAAATGATGACGTTTCTATCTGAGAGAGAAATTCTCGAATGGGACACGAAACAGCAAACTTGTACAATCAATCAATAAATCAATCGATTTTTTTTATGAAGTAAAGAAATGACCTCATAATTAGGAATTTTCCTGTGCAATGAATTTAACCTATGATGTAACAGATAAACAGCCATCACAAAGTCCGATATTGATCAAAAAGTGCGATATAAAGTACAAATCTGTTGTCTGTTCTGATAAATACATGCACAGGATCAAAAGGAACAGAAACAATAAAATGTGCATACAAAAACATAGCATTTTCTTCAAAGGCACGATTTGATCGTAATCCTATTGAAAATCTTAATGACTTTTATAGCAGACAATGAAAGCCATTTTACATAAGTTTCTAATCATTAACATCTGTGCATGCCAGTTGACAACTTTTTATTTATTGCCGTATATATAGCTAAACTATATCTTGCATCACCAAATTAACATATTTCTCTCAAAGTAAGTTTATACAATACGTGATGTGGTTTTACAGATTCTTTTTCGTTGCCCTGTTGATTCAAGTGGCATTTACTTTCAGTAAGTAACATTAAGTTTGATTCTTTCTTTATTTTCAACGTTCCTTTTGAATAATTTCCCTCGTATGGAGACGCCACCACATGCAGGTGAAGGGCTAAAAATTTATATCTATACTCAGCACTCGATGCCAATAAGCAATGAGGGATCTTTTTCGTGCCAAAACACTTGGACACGGAGTCTCTCTTTCTACGGCCTCAACCGAACTTGAGGGACCACGGTCACCACGCACGTCTTGCAGTGGATTCGAATCCATGACGTAAGAATCAGCTTTTTCCCCGCAACTCTAGAACAAATTCTCCAATCAGTGCCACGCAGGCGAAGAGTAACAAGGCCTGATGTAGATAGATAGATATCCTATATATAATTGTATGAAACATGCTAAAGTATAATATATTCTTTCCGCATCAATATAATTTTTGTCTTCCAGCAAAAAGCACTCCTTAATACTTGGAACTTCACGGCATTGCAGAAAATTGCTTAGCATACAGTTTAAAAGATTCATGACACCTTCCAAGTTTTCAAAATGAAATATATGGAATTAATTTCAAAGAAAATGCAATCAATAATTATTTTTCTTCAAAAACGTGATGCATAGGACATGACTTAGATATCTCTAGGACATAAAATGAATTTTATTGACGCATTAAAGAGATTTCAGCATCAGCGCTAATATTTTAATTGTGATTCCCTTCCTCTATTCAAATTCTCGTATTCATACAATTTTTGATTTGTTAGTTTTTAGGTTAGGTTAGTTGCACCGAGAAAGAAATCAATCTACTATTCTACTTAAACTTTGATGTACATGTACAAGTACACGTATCATCTATGTCTTTTATATATAGGCCTATATCTTATAGGTTTTTATTTTTTGTGAGGCATTATTATGTTAGTGTACTCCTTAGAAAAACGGCCATAGTAGTAACAATCTGACAAGGTATTTCAAAATAAATGAAAAAAAAATTCTTTTGGTTGTTTGAATCAGATCAGCTATGGTCAGCCAACCAATCATGGACATTTGAACCATAAATGTTTCGTACAAATGATTCTGCAGATCGCACGCCAAATACGCCCATCTTCTTTAAAACATAAATAATGCAGCTGTGTCTATGCCCCTTTGACGAGTAAAAATGGATTGGTACATAATAAGACCTTTGGGTTTTATAAAATTCGATCACAAAATCATGCAACACATCTTTACATTCCGATGATATTTTAGAAATAATAATAATATTATATTTCCTAAACTTTTGAACTCATAGTTATTAAGTGTTAATATATCACTTAAAGGTCAAGTTCTGTAAATTCACGTAAATCCATGCAAGATAATTAGTTATTTAATTGGTATTTGTTAATTTGTTATTGATTTTTATAATGAGATTTTTTAACAGATTTTTTTTACAATCTACATGTTTAAATTTACAAGTATACATGTACTTATAAAAATAAGGCAACATGGATTTTTTTTTCGAGCAGACTGTCACGCATTATTTCACTAAAATAATGTTCTCACATTTTTTAACGGCACAGAATATCTGACAGAGTGTCAGAATACCTAATGTTTAAAAAATCTTTTGCCTAAGCATATATTCATGTTGCATTGGTATCCATTAGAAACGCCAATTTACCGTCAGAGTTAGTTATGGTTATGTTACCAATTAACCATACCAGTAACATACCTTGCAGTACCATGGTCATTTATACATATGTTACATGAGAGTTTAACTAGTTTTATAAAAATAGAGAATTTAAAACTCACTGTAACCAACTGTGCATTAACTGATGTTGTGAACAAAATAGATAAGTCTGTTACAACCTTAATTTTGGGTTGAAGTCTCATGACAAATTCTATCATTTTGAATTAAAGTGCGAATCAAACCAAAGCCTGGAACAAAAGTCATTCCTTATAACGCTGATGAGGAAACCTTGAAAACAACAGGTGATAAATATGACTCAGCCCTCAAAGGTGAGTGTTTATGTTTTTCCTTTCGTTTAGGTCGAAATATATTTCACAATAGATCTAAATATGTATATATATATTGAATTTTAATCTATTGTATTTCACCCTTTTATTAAAACATAAGTCATAAGATACTGGTTTATTCAAAGATATTTTGTTCTTAAACGTCTGTGGTGAGCTAAGAATAAAACTTATTGCCAAAACATCTACTTGTTTTCATATCTGACAAAAAGGTGAATCCTTCAGGTAGGTAATTTTTTGTATGTCAACTCTTGATGAAGAAAAAACAATAAATATTATTGAATGTCATTTAAGAAGATAGACATTCTGACTTGGACACAGTTTATAAAAAGAAATATAACATAAATCATTGCAATATTTCACAAAAAGGTGATAATATTTAGACCTTTTAAAAAAATCACACCATTCTGAATTTGTTATGATATTAAAAACAAATGTGACATTCATTAATTGTTTCGATTCAATTATTTGCAATCAATAGCTTAAATTCCTATTTGATGGTTGTTAAATACTAAAAATTAATGAAATTACTTTTCAACAGAATTTTCAATATCTTACACTTGTAGAAGACAGATAATACATTTTTTACTTATAAAATAATCTAATAGATAATTATATCATTTGAATAAGGAGAGCATCAAGGTTAAAAAAGCTTAGAGTTGAATTTTTTAATGAATTCGTAATACTTTTGTGACAATCAGGTATAATTTATTTTCCTTTCTCACTATGTACTTATTTTCAATACGGTAATTTTTTTTAAATTTATTTTATTTTTTGAACTTGTGAGAAGATTGATGAAATCTGAAGACTAAGCTTATTTTTGTATATTTTTTTCTTAAATTTCAGTCTTTAGCCTTTAACGATATAGTTATTTAAATCAGGGATGGGGTAATTACTTTCAAAAGTAATTCATTAATTAATTACAATTTGTTTGAAATTTTTCAATTACTAGTAATTAAAATAATATGCAATTATGAATTAATGTCAATAACTTGTATTTAACGGTTTAACTTGTAAAATTGTATTAATTACAGTCAATTACAATTACTTTTTTCAATTACCAAATCCCTTATTCAAATCATACAATATTAAACTATTTATAACCTTATAAACTTACAGACTATAAAAAGTACAATAATATAAAAAAAAAATCAAATGTCCAACAAGAAAAAAATACCACTTCAAAATGTTGTGTAAAGACTTAACATGAAATATTTAAAAATAATAGAAACAAGTTAAAAAACAGAATTCAAATGAAGTTAAAGCAAAAAAATAAATAAATAAATAAAAATAAAAAAGGGGGGTTCTGGTACGCAAAACTTTGGACATTCGCTGGATGTCACGTCTTTAAATAACTTATACAAAGGAATACTACATGTTGCGTTGCAAAGTTGAATAAATGAAGTTTTCAAAATATCAAGTTTAAATCCTTATCTATATTTTTCATCATCAATAATACCAGTATGCACAATGATACTGCAATGAACAAAATTATTCGACACTTTGTTTTAACCAGAAAGTTGAAAAAGTTATTCATCAATTCATTCATGAAGTTATTCAGAAATTAAGATAAAATTATATAATGTACTTGATCTATGCAAATACTCGAAAATGAAATTTGTTCAACCAGACCCATGTACTAGTAATTATTTTTAATAAAATTTTCGTTTAAAAGAAGTGTTTTACAATAGTAAATATATCTTTCAAACTGTGCAGTTTAATGTCAAAATCAACTATCAAATAATTATATATCTTTTTTTAG